CCCCATTTTCAAGAAGGGGAAAATGAATGACCCGAGGAATTACAGACCAGTCAGTCTCACCTCTGTGCCTGACAAAATCTTGGAGCAGATTCTCCTGGGTGTCATGCTAAGGCACATGAAAATCAACAAGGTGCTTGGTGACAGCCTGACCAATTTGGTGGCTTTCTATGATGGGGCTACAGAACTGATGGACAGGGGTAGAGCAATTGATGTCATCTACCTGGACTTGTGCAAAGCCTTCAGCACTGTCCCACATGACATCCTTGTCTCTAAATTGGAGAGACATCAGTTTGATGGATGGACCACTCGGTGGATAAAGAACTGACTGGATGGACGCACACAAAGAGTTGTGGTCAATGGCTCAATGTCTGGCTGAAGACCAGTAACGAGTGATGTCCCTCAGGGATCGGTGTTGGGACCGGTCTTGTTTAACATCTTTGTCTCTGACATGGACCGTGGGATTGAGTGCGCCCTCAGCAAGTTTGCCGATGACACCAAGCTGTGTGGTTCGGTTGATACGCTGGGGGGAAGGAATGCCATCCAGAGGGACCTTGACACGCTTGTGAGGTGGGCTGATGCCAACCTCATGAAGTTTAACCATGCCAAGTTTAAGGTCCTACACCTGAGTCAGAGCAATCCCAGGCACAGCTACAGGTTGGGCAGAGAAGACATTCAAAGCAGCCCTGCAGAGAAGGACTTGGGGGTGTTGGTTGATGAGAAAATGAACACGAGCCAGCAGTGTGTGCTTGCAGCCCAGAAAGCCAACTGTGTCCTGGACGGCATCAAAAGGAGTGTGACCAGCAGGTCGAAGGAGGTGATCCTGCCTCTGTACTCTGCTCTCGTGAGACCTCACCTGGAGTATTGTGTGCAGTTCTGGTGTCCTCAACATAAAAAGGACATGGAACTGTTGGAACAAGTCCAGAGAAGGGCCACGAGGATGATCAGGGGACTGGAGCACCTCCCATATGAAGATAGGCTGATAAAGTTGGGGCTCTTCAGCCTGGAGAAGAGAAGGCTGTGTGGAGACCTCATAGCAGCCTTTTAGTATCTGAAGGGGGCCTATAGAGATGCTGGAGAGGGACTCTTCCTTAGGGACTGTAGTGACAGGACAAGGGGTAACAGGTTAAAACTTAAACAGGGGAAGTTTAGATTGGATAGAAGAAGGAAATTTTTTCCTGTTAGGGTGGTGAGGCACTGGAATAGGTTACCCAGGGAGGTTGTGAATGCTCCATCCCTGGCAGTGTTCAAGGCCAGGTTGGACGAGGCCTTGGTTGATATGGTTTAGCGTAAGGTGTCCCTGCCCATGGCAGGGGGGTTGGAACTAGATGATCTTAAGGTCCTTTCCAACCCTAAGGATTCTATGATTCTGTAAGATATCAGAAGGGAGTATTTGAGCAAAAGACGGACACATACTTTTCCACTTACAGGTGCAAGTAAGCAAGTTCAGTCTAGAAATATAGAAGTTTGGATTTCAAAAGTTACTAAATGACACAGTGGTAATTTTACATAATGTTCTTCACATTTCTACTTTTCCAAAAAATTATAGAATTAAATAGCTCAGAACTCCAGCATGTATTCCATTCCTGCAGTCTATTTAGTTTTTCTACTATGGAAAATAAGGAAAGTCCTTGCACATTTCACAATGTTTTTCCTTTGACGTACTCCACACAATGCTTTAAAAAGCAAAAATTAAAAAAAAAAAAAGAAAATCAACAATTACAAAATTAGTGGGGAGACTGGGCCACCACAGATGCTTGATAAAAGTGTACATATGTGTTACACTTAGCTGTCCTAACTGGGGTTTGAGGACCACATATGGGAGTAGAGATTAGAGTTTACTTTTCCTAAAAATCTTCATGGCGTTTGCTTCAAATTCCTGTCTTCTTGAAGTGCTAAACAAAAAAAAAAGCTTGTTACAAACCTGGTGGTTGCAATTCACAAATAGTTTGCGAAAGAACAGTGGTATGATCATGTTCCAAGAAGCAGTTCTTGACTCAGTAGCCTTGCATTTGCATCTAACCGCAGTGTACTTGCTGTCGTGTACTAAGAATTATGCTTAGCATCATATCTATGGATTATCCTGCAGTGTAAGTATACTGACACTAGGGAGAAAATGTGGTTACTGCAAACTTTTTTTTTTTCCATCTCAGTCACATTTCACACTATTTTCCTCAGTGGAAAGATGTGTATAAATTAAATGAAGGTTGTGGGATTTCCCTCTAATGTACTTTTATTAAACTTTAAAAGGATAATCACTGTTCTCTAAGAATAGCAATATGGCACTCTGGAGTTGTCTTTGTTCATCCTTTAATATACAGTCTAAGAGTATTTAAAATGATCTGCCCAGTAACCTCACAGCTTGTGTGTATTTTAGAAGACCAGTATAAAATCCCAGCTGATTGCTGTTAAGTAGCTAGGAACAAAGTTGTTATTGCCATGTGTTTAAAATCTTTCCAGGTATCTTTACAAGATAGACTAATTTTTGCGTGTTCTAGGTATGAATTTAAATTTTTGTTTATTAATTCCATTAGCATGCAGTGAATAAGAAACCAGAGAGAATCAACTATTATTTTGAATGTTCTGCCTATTTGATGAGACAGTTTTCTTGCTCGGTACAGTTATTACGTATCTCTCTAAAAATACTACACAAGTTTTCCTCACCAAAGGAAGGTACAATATTGTTTCATGATAAGATCAAGTTCTTAAAGAACTTAATAAAGAATCAGCACTATTCAGCAATTAAATATTTTCCCTTTATTACAGATGAAGAATCAGGCACAGAGATGCTGAGTGAAACTTGTTTAGCTTGAAATGACAAAGGAAATTTGTACTAAATGTCAAAATAAGACCTGGTTTTCTTGACTCCCAATTCTATATTATGAATTTTTTAAAGCATTATTAATTGCACTATTCAAAACACATTAAATTCAAAATTAAGATGCCAAAACATGTCTTTCTAAATCTTGCAGCTCTTTAAGAATATCCTCTGTATTCATTCCCCAAGTTAAGCACTTAAGTAGTTAAATGAAGGAATGGAATATGAGCAAGAAGAGGTCCAAACTCCACAGTGTACCGAATAATTCAATGGAAAGGGGATGGAATATTAGAAAAACTAATGAAAATGCTGTGGAAGAAAAGCTAGTGTCAGATCTATTGAGAGTTTCACTTCTTTTTCTGGAAGTTTTGCGATGCTGACAGACGTGATTTGAAGCTGCTAAAGGGGATCATTTTAAATAACTTGAAGCTTCTAAGACTAGAGTTTCTTTGAAGTGCATTAAATTAATTCTAGTTAAAGGATTTTCATGAGTTTCTAAAGGGTTTGTATGTTTTCTTTGGTGAAGGTCCAAACTGATATGCCTGGGCAGTTTTTTCTGCTTAAAACTAAATGACTAGACTGTTTTGAACATGAAGTGTCTTCCCCCATCTTAGTTAGAAGCTGTATTTATAGGTATGCACACGTTTTATCTGGGAGGCCTGTATATCTTTTGCTGTAGATACATTCACATGCACACTAACAACAGTACATGGAATCTGACTATAACGATACAGAGAAGTTCTGCTTATCATCAAACATTTCATGTATCCCATTACGTGTGAAAGAATTATTATCTGTCCTGTTGCAGTGCAATGCTTTTTCCTATAATGTTATTTTACTCTGCAAATTTATTTTGGTATTAAAAGGTTCCACTTTATAATGTCTATGGTTCAATCAGTGATCTAAAAGGCACTTAAATACTTTGAACAAGATACATAAAACGCTTTTATTGCAAAGCTTTGCTGTATCTACCAATTTTACCATTGATCTCTTTCCACATACAGCAGTTCTGGAAGCTGCCCATGCTGTATAAAATCACATGGTGGCTTTTGATCTCCAGCTGGTGATTAAAGCACATTATGGAGGTTTGAAATTCTCTTGTGGTCATTAGCATACCTCCAAACACTTCTCTGCCAAATAGTAGTGGCTATCTCAGTGCACACTGTTTAAGTAAGAAACCAGAATTCTATAAACTTATTATTTACTGTCATTTGTTGCTCAGAGGATATGGATACCTTGAATGAGGTGAGCTCACCCTTAGCAATAGAATTAGTGATCAAATAGTGATTTCTTATGGTGATTAGGGTCTAGCAAAATGCAATGAAGAATGAGTTTATGTATTTGTAAACCCTCTTTTGATGTAAACTGGCCTAGAAAAGCTTGTATTGTTGCTCCCTATCTACAGTTCTATATTTCTTGCTGCTTAAAGATTTCACTATGACTTCCAAGGTCACCAGGCTGTTACAGTTTTTCACAGTGGACTTTTAAACAATGCCATCTTAACTCTGTTGCTTGAAAGTAGCAAAAATAGCATCTTTTCCCCTTGCTTTTTTGAAAATATATTTGTGTGGTGTGAAAAATAAAGAACTACCATCTATTTGTTACTTTTGCTAGGAATCTCTTTGGGATTTCCTTTCACAGAAAATTAATGACTTCCAGCTTTATGTATTTGTATTTCACATTATTATAGTACATTGGATTTTATTTATGTATTTTTACCATCTCCATTTTACTAGGCAGCAGTTTACTGAATGTTACCCAGATACAGGAGAAAACATAACATTTGTTGAAAGATATTACAGTCAGCAAATAGCAAATAAATTCCAGAGCTTTCTGTTAGTTGCTCTACCTTGTCCCCTCACTCCCCAAAATAGAATGAATATAGGTAACCTGGTTTCTGACAAGTCGTCGGTTACAAGATTTTAAAAGGGAATAAAATCTGGGTCGAGAGAAGAGTATTGGCCTGGACTGGATGTGCCAGTTGTAAAGGGGGTATTTGAGAGAGTAGTAGAACTTCTGGAAAGATGAGCAGACCAGTGAGGGAACACAGTTTTGAGTCTGTTATACTGTGTGGCAAAGCACCTTGAATTGTTTGAGTCTAGGAAATAGCAGTTTCCCATCTCTGCTTAGCAACTTGAATTATTTGAATCTAGGAAATAACAGTTTCCTATCTCTGCTTTTATCCAGAAGTTTGACTAATAGTTGGAGGAAGAGCAGAATCACAGAGAGAGTAAGCACTGAAAGTTTATCATTTAGGTAACATTTTTATTTCCAACAACACCCTAAAATACCTAAGATCTTTTGTAAGATTAAGCATAGCTGGTTTTGTCCAGGGAGCTTATTTTTCACAGAAAAAAAAAAAAAAGCCACAATTAATGAAAATCAGTGCAAATTGTAGCCTTTTTCATATCGAAAGCTAATCCATATTCATACAAATAAGTGGTGGATTAATTGTGTCATACAAACTTTCTCTGAGGAAGTAGAAGGGGCAGAATTCATTGGCTGTTTCCTTGGAAGGAAGCATCATGCAATGAAAATTAAAAATAAACCACTGCATTTCATTGTAAGCCACACTTTTCTGTCTTACGGCAAGCTTTATTATCCAGAGCTAGCTGTCTGGAGAAGAAGAAATACTTACTGCTGCTCTTCTGTACTGCAACATAGCCCGAAATCCTTCCCATCATGCTGCTGTATGGTATAGTCTTGGTGTTCATGAGCGTGCTAATTTACATAAAATTTACATGACATGTAACAAAATATATGATTTGCATAAGAACTGGTTTTCTTCAAGTCCCAAATGGCATTAAGCTCTAAAAAAATGCTACCACTAGGTGTCTCATTGGTTTCAATATACTCCAACTGAAGAGCAAGAAATGCTCAACAAAATTTAACAAAAATACAGCTAATTACCGCTGACATTCCCTCCTTCGTTACACCAGCACACCCTGAATTTAATCACATGCATTATTGTAATCAAGCTGTCAATCAAATTTTGAAATATTTCATTTTTTGACATAATTACACACAGCCCATCTAGAACATGGGTATGGCAAGATTGATACTGTGTTACAAAATGTGATCTGACAAAAAAAAAAATTGATGCTTCTGTGCAAAAATTAAAGAAACATTGAACTGCTAATGCACTTACCCTGCAAATGTGTTGCATCGGGTAGTATGTCAGGAGTTAATATATTAACTGCCTGCCCATTCACTGAATAATATACTTGTTCTTGTCATGCTTTAAATGTTTAAACATTGTCCATGTCTTTTTTTTTTTTCTGTTGTTTAAAAATCTATAGCTTTAATTTGCTTAATTGGAACAAACTGTATGGAGGACTTCTTTTGCTTTTAGGCTTACAGCAAAAGATTTAGCGAAACCATCAGTGTAGAAATAGGATGCCGAGAGTTGGGCTCCTACTGAAACTCCTCTGAGCCTCTCCCATCTATGGAAAGCTACAAAATTAGTGAGCTATTTGATTAATGTTTGCAAACAGCTCAAGACAAAACATCCTTAGTACATATTGATATCTTTGTCAGAAAGTCCGTGTTCCTGCTTTTTGGTGTATGGTAATTTTTATGTTAATACTTCAAAACATACGAGTAATTTTTCTTTTAATCAAGAAGATAATTTTTACCATCTGATGACTATTTCATGGCCTCTGTGAATGAGTTTGCAAACCTCAGTCTGATTTTAAGTAGACAGATGCCCCCCTTCACAAAAAAAACTGTCACAATTGGCAAAAGTTATCACATGTGCTGGCAGCAGCATGGGCTCAGGATGAATGGATAGGAGGTAGGAAAGTGTCCTCCTTGCTATGAGGAGGTAGGTGAAGATGGGGGATGTTTGCAATGCCTCTGACAGTGCTGGGTCTTTAGCGTGCAATATCATTAATGCAGGCATCTTTATGTGACCAGTGATCTTTGCTTTAAAAGCCTTGTTTGGATATTTGTAGACATGTATTCCACTAGAATATCTTGATCTAAATGTTTTTGGGTAACTTAAAACAATTTTTTGTTTGATAGCAAATTAGTAATTAATTTCTTCCTTCCTGATGGCAGGTGAAGAGAACTGCAAAAACATTTTTCACTAAAGAGATGTGCAAGGCTTTTAAGAACTTGCAGAAGCACACAATCCTAGCACTTTTTCCACCCTCGACTTAAGAAGACACACTAATGTAATGTGCTCCTTCTCTCCATCTTCATTCTGTCCTCAGGGCCTCATTTGCTTATTTCCCATATCGCTGGCACTGGCCCTGTTATTCAGAGAACTACTGTTTTACTTGGGTAGTATCTCAGCTCTTAAGACCTCTGATGATAAGATCTGTTTTTTCTAATTGAGTTGCTGTATTTTCATGCAGACATCTGTTGAAAGCACTGAATTAATTAATGTAGTAGTAGCAACTAAGAAAACATGATTAATCAGCTTTGTCCCCTGCCACAGTGAACTTACGAGGGCACTGAAAGAAGATGTATAGAATCTGATGGGCTCTTGTTTTATGATTTGTTCTTGGGGAATAGGTTAAATTTCTTTCTTTTCATCCAACCCTCCACCTCCTTCTTTCCCTTCACACACTTGAACCTGGCTCCGTTCGCACATACAAAAGATGACCTTGCATATCTCATGGCAGAGTAGAGAAGTTCTGCATTGCCTGCAGACTGGCTGCTCTTCGATAGGAGATGACAAGCTCTGTCCTCCCCAGCTGCCTATAGCTTGTATTCAATTGAAAAATGCTAGAAGGAAAGTGTTTACAATCTGTTGCTGAAAGAGCTGATTTTTTCAGTAAAGACATGGCTTTGAAGATATTTAAGTGGCATTAAACCTACCTCAATAGTATAAATAAAAAAGCAAGTTCAGCAGTTTTTATGGCACCCTATACTAACAATATTCTAAACTGTCCACTAAACATTTTTCATTCTCCATGGAATATCATAGAATACTGACTGCAATATTTCTATCGGTGTTCTTTTACTTGCTAATAATGAAATTGCAGCGATCAACCTTTTCATTTAGAACTACTTGCTCCAAAAAGTAAGCACAGCCATTTGAAACAATTTTGTAGCTATCTCAGATGGAATGTAAGTTTTAAATTCTTGATTGTAAGACTGCCAGCTCGTAAACATATTATAATGTATATTGGTCTGTTTTGGTGAACAGCTGAATAATAATGTACTTTAAAAACAGTTTGAAATGCATCTTCTAAGATATGAAGCAGAGAGGATGACTAATATGAGAATATGGCATTTCACAGCAAACCTAATAAAAGCTTGTGAAAACTACAGTATCTCATCACCACACTGGCTACATTGGCTGCAATACAGTCAATACTATATTGACTACTAGAAGGGTTATAAGCGTAAAGAATTCCATCTCTCCTGATGAAAGTAACTGTGCTGTGCCAAATGGGTAAAAGAGTAAATCTTCTAGTTTCATGAATTTTTTATAACTTATTCTTGAATATTTCTTAGAATTGTGTCCTGGCTCCTTGACCAATGTAAAGTTTGCTTTTCCTTTGTTTTCAAAGTCTTTTGAAAACTGTCATTAAAGTAATAACGTGTTTTTAATATATAATTTATCTGCACAGCCCCAAAATAAAGCCTGCTTTGGCTGTGTTTCTAGTTCAGAAAACTCAAGAGGTTACACCTGCTTTTAAAAGGATTAGATTCCCTGATCAGGTGTTTACCCTTTTCATTAAGTTATTTCTTTAAAGTTGAAAATGTTGCCTAATCATTTGCTGTTTACTTGGATTTACATTGTTTGTGCATGAGACAGGCTTCTAAGAGGGATGGGTCTGCCTGGCTCAGGCATGAAGTCATTAGTCCTGTTTGCTCAACCCTGCATGCAGAGAGACCTGAACTAGCGCAGAGTGTACACGTCATTTCTCTCTTCTGCTCACACAGACTGTTGTCAAGTATTTCTTCTAGGATGAAAAGCTCCCTCCCTGTAGTCAGCTATCACTGTGTGCCTATTCAACATAGATGCTACATTGCCTTTAAGATTCCATGGCATGACACTCAGCACAGAGGACCAGCACGCAACCCAGGCCCCAGAAAACAAACACACCTGTTCCTGGAAAGAATAATAATAGAAAACCTCTAATATGAAAATATGTTCTATATAACCAGTGAAAGGTAATGCTTTTCACCACTTCAGTACTGATATCTTTGTCCTGTAGTTTGGATTAAGTTCACAATGCAATTGTTTAGTGACCACTTTATGTGTCAGATGAAAGAGGGAAGGTTACATGTGGGAACGTTCAGAATGAGGTGCAAGAAATTTTTTCTATTATAAAAAGAAGGAAAAGGGAATTCAGGTGCATGGGAGTTGGTAATTTCTTTATGTAATTGGTCAAATAAGATACATAACCTTGTCCTGCAAATGTTGTTGGTCACACCACCAGAATGCCAGAGCATCTGTTGGAAATATTAAATCTGCTGTATCATCCTCTAATGAGTAAAGTGGATGGAAGAAGTATGCACATGTAGGTGTGTACCTGTCCAGGGATATCCTGAACAACATTTGTATCTGGTCTTTCAAACAAGCCATAAGTTGTGGACAATTAATTCACCTTACAAGTAGGCTATACTCGGGTAGAAATATTCGAAGTTTTATTAGTTATCAAGATCCTAATTTATTAGGTAAAATAATCTTTAGTTACCAAAATCTCAAAAGATTGAAAGCATAAAAGAAAGCAAGGATGCATGGATAATTTTCTTAGTAGAATGACATATTTAACTCACAGCCTCAAGGTTGTTGGTTTGTTTTTCTCCCAGTGGAAAGCCAAGCATAAAATAAGGGATGTAGGTTATTATAAAGCATCTGAAAAGTTCCTTGCAAAATACCAACTTGAGATGATATTTTTTCAAATTAACATCATAGCATAATAAAAATCAATGTGTCTGTTCTTATGTGGTCATTTTTACCAAGACAATGTGAGCAAGGAGTGAATATCAATCATTGAAGGCATGGTCTAATAGTGTTTTATTCACCTTTGATTCATTGTGAATTTGTACCTCATATCAATAATAAGCTGCAAAAACTTCCAAGATAGTAATAAACGCAATAAGCGAACACTAAAATTGCCTTGCTTCTTACTGTATACCAACAGAGGAAATAACACCAAAAAAATCAAAACCTTCACAGAAAAATATATAGACAGATGCATTCACAAAACGCATAGAAGATGTTCCAAGAAAGAACCAGAAGGGACATTTGCCTAGTAATCAAGGAAGCCTGGGGATTTAACAGATGAGTGACAGAGATGGCAACAGGCAGGAGTGGGCAGCTGAGGAGTTTGGTCTGATGGCAGGGAGAAAAGAATTGCACCTGGTGTTTCTGGGCACAAAAGTTGTTGGAAAACAGGTAAAGCAGAAAGAGGCCAGAGAGTCCAGGCAGGACAGAGCAAGGAGGACGGAGATGGACTTACTGGAGAGAAGACTGGCCAGCTGGAAAGCCTTTTCAAATCAGCACACTGATTAGAAAATAAAAGGATAAGCAAGGGCAGGAGGAGGAGGGAAAAAAAAGACCTATATGTTGCACTGCTCTCCTCTACTCTAGGAAGTAAGCATTTTCCAGCTGAAGAGAGAGGAAAACTGAAGCAGACAAGACAGCAGGTAGAAGATGCTTGGCAACTTCAAGTTCCCAACCAAGTTTGTTTAGCATGTCCCCACATGCTACATTTGGCACATACCAAGTTGAGCATTTGTAATGGTTCAGAATTTTACTTGTTCCCTTTTCACCTCGCAAAATGATCCTGGGGCACTTGCACCCAAAACGTAGATTAGAAGGTTGTATGATGAAGATGTGTATCTGACAAAAAGTGAATTGCACAGATAAAATTAGGTATGTACTGAAGAGCAGCTCTTTGCCTGCTACCTGGCAGTTCTGCCAGCACACTCCAGGCTTGATTTGCAATACCCTGCATAAATACCCTGCGCAAATACCCTGCCCCATCTCTTTAGAGCAGTGACTCAGTCATGCTGAACTATGCCACCTCTGTGGCAGAATATAGTCTATTGTATCTGTTTTATGACTCAGAATCCAACACAGTAATCAACGCAAAACACAGCAACTCCAAAAGCGCATTTATCAGGCACGCAATTTGGTATGTCATCATTCAACAAGCAGTAGACATTTCAGGCTGGTACATGTAACTACATCTTAAATAAACGGTTGCATTATCAACAAGCTGCATCATGTTTTTCAAGGTCCTTGGGGGAGGACAGGAAAAGGAAAGCTTGGTTTCTTTTTAATGTCATCATTACTATCCAAAACACATAGGACTGGACAGCTCAGGGACCTGATGCATGGGTAGTTTTCTTTTCTGATCAGGTTGGATTTGAGCTCTTGACCTATACCAAGACTGTTTAGAAGCCAGTGGTTGCCAACTTATATAAGCAACTGCGAATAGTTTGGTTGTCTCAATATAATTCCTACACAAAAACAGGGTACAGACCACAGCCCTGTCAGTTTTGCAATCATCATTGCAGACTGAATAGCAGCAAACACTTAGATCTTATCTAAACAGGGCACTATTCCGAAGCATATGCATACTTTTTGGTTTAATATCATGCAGAAACGTTTGCTCCAGTGTATACCTACCTTGGTTCTGATCTCTTTAAGCCAATGGTAAGGAATAGCACAATGTGACTGTTTCTTAACAAGTCCATGAGAAGGAAATTTTGAGTTGTCAATGACCAGATTAGTGTTTCCCTACTGTTCTTGATTCTTTAACATCAAGAAGCAAACGCGGATGCCCAAAGCCATTTCAGCTCTCCACAGAATTTATTTCTGCCTTTTACAAAAGGCTTTGAAAGCGGTGTTATGGAATTGTATTCAGAGAAGATTTCACAGTTCTCAATAACATGACCATCATGACCACTCTGATCTTCATACCTTTAGCAAAACATGTTCAGATCCTCCTTGAGGAATAGTTTCCTCACAAACTGAATTTAACTTGTACTGCTAAGATTTCTTTCGTGACACATTGAGCCATCCAGTGGCACAGGCTGAAAAAACTACTGCGTGTACTTGTTATTACATTTCTTACAGTCCCTTTCTTTATATAAGAGATTAAAAAAAAATCCTCAAACAAACAAACAAAAAAAACCACCTCCTGACATTGTTTTAATAGATAAGAGGGGTGGATGGGGAAAAAGGAAAGAAAACAGTGAAAAAATACATGAAGTCAAAGTTTCAAATTCAGTGTTGATGCTGCACGTCTGCCCTTAACTCGTATTATGGATCTGTGTTCTTCTATATACAGTGATTAACATCAGATTTGGTCAGTCTTTGACCACCTGAAAATTCTTGGCATCACAGTTTGAATTAGGTTAATTTGTCCCAGATCAGCTCACTTTTGTCAGCACTAGATTCCTGTGAATGTAAAACAATACTTACTAGTTGAAATGGGAAGATGTAAGTCTCTATATGCAGAAGCAGAGATATAACCATTGAGGGCTTAAATGAGCCAATAATGAAGTATAGTGAGTGGGTTTTTTTTGTTTAAAAGATTGTGAGCAAATTAAATGCTGAATAGTGATGGTGTAGCAGTAGTGGGTAGAGCTTGGTTTAGTGTGGGCAATGAAGAAAGATCATTAACAAATAAAATAGGGAGCACCTCAGGGGACACGCCTACAGACAGTCTGTCACCCACTGGTTTTAACATTTCATTTCAAAATTTAATTAGATACCAGTTTCTGAATGCCCAAACAAAATCAGCCTCTTTGCATACCATCAACATGCATCAGCTTTCACTGGTAAATCTGCAGCTGAAACAATATTCCTCATCCTAAATTTTGAGGGGAAAGAACAACAACAAAAGAACAGCCATAAATTTACATTCCTGGTTCCAGCAACTAAAAAAAAAAATAAAATCTAAAAATAGTGAACAATGTTAACACCTGCATTTAACTCATCACTGTTACACTGGAAGCGATAGCAAGGCTTTATGGAAAGTATATGAAGCAACAGTGTTTTGTGCTAACTTTGCAAAGGACAGGGCTGAAAGTCTCTGATATCCCTGGTTGATAAGGAAACACTTCACTGATCACAAAAGCAATGAAAGTCTTCCATCTTTATAGTAAAAGTTCTCTGAAAGAAGATAAAGCTGTAGTTACAGAATAGCTTGTCTAC